TGTTGAGGATATAAAATAGTTCTAAAAGGTTTGTTAATTGCACTTTATCTCTTCATTAGTAGAGATTCATGATTGATCAATGTGCCAATGGGAGATTCAACCTCTGCTGCAAATGGTCACCCTCTACCTCCCTCTATAGTTTTTGGATAACTTCATAAAAACCCCATAAAAACTATATTATCATAGTGCCATGTTAATTAATTTTAAAAAAAGGCCTTGAAGAGGTATACATTCCTGCATGCACTCTTGATACAACTGACAGGAACCAATTAGCCTCCTACCACATTTAGTGTAATAATCAGCTATCCAGTGATATGTTATGCAATACTCTCTCAAGCCATTTTAGACAATAGAACTTGGCTTGGAAGGAAAGCTAATTAAAAGATAAAAATCACCTCCTTGTCGGTCAATTAAAGACATCTGTCAGATATCACCCAGGAATAACTTCATTACAGCGATACGAAGAGCTGGTGTTTACATGCACGTACAGAGGGATGGAGGGTATTTTTTTTGAGCCTGCATCTCCCATATGCAAGCGGGCGGAGGAAAGATGGACAGGAACCAACGAGACAGAAGGAAAGAGACAAGGCGAGGGAGAAAAGGCAGTCAGGACAAACGAGCGCTGAAACCAAGATAGGGAGAAATGGGTTAGACGAGGCCAGCAGACGAGGAACGAAAGCAGGAATTAAATGATAAAAGGCGCAGAGAGGTTAAATGATTGGATGGGGGTGGGGAGATACCGAATGGACTCGGGACAAAAAAGCATGATAGAAATGTGTTATTTGTATTTGCATTGATGTAAAATGTCATTTCTATATTCAGTGCCTTAATTATAGTGACTGCGGTAAGAAGTAAAAGGTCTTGAATCCTGTGTAAACCTAGATAAAGATAATAATGCATAATTTGTCACACTTTATATTACGTTATTCACATTCTCGACATGTTTGTGTTAAGCTCCTGCTCGGCCTACACAAGAAATCAAATTCATTAGATAAAAAAAATATATATTGAAGATGTTGATGATGACAAAAAATTAATTGGGATATCCAGGTCAGGATGCAAAGAGACAACTTTTACACATATTTTTACAGCGCCTGTGAAAAACTTGTATAGAAAATGGCTACGGAAGTTCAATATCAAACTTATTTCATTAGACAGTGTTCTTTGATTAAAATCGACTCACCTTATTTATCAAAATCAATGAAGGAAATAATTATAACTGCTCCCACTAATGTCTGCTGTCGTTGTGTCCGTGGGCAAGACACTTAACCCCATATTGCCTGAAGCTCCCGCTGAAACACCAGGGTTGTGGCACCACTATTGTAGCAGCCATCTTCCTGTGGACTCACCACCTGCAGAGGATCAGCGAGGGACCAGTGATATGAGCGTTGGGTGGCAGCTCTCATTGGCACCCCCCCGACCCAGAAATGGACTAATAAAGAAGTTGAAAATGAATGAATGAATGAATGAATGAATGAATGAATGAATGAAGGAAATCTAATGCAATTAAAACAAATAATGCAGAGTAACCAATGTTCACAGGAATCAACTAATAGATAAAATTCCCAAAACAATCTCTGACCTATAAGGAGATCAAGCAGAAGCAAAGGCTTGGACCCTATAAATCAATATCATTATTTTTTCTAACTATAAAAAGAGTGGGGAAAATTGAAACCATCACTCTCATGACTTTTTTATCTTCGCTGGCGGTGATGTCATCTAATTGGATCCTCCTTAATTGTGCATGTACTAAGAAAGAGATCTTGCTCTATTAAACCATGAGCCAAGTAAACCCATCGTCGTATGAGCAAACATGAAAGCTGTGAATGGAGTAATGACTAGAAGGGACATGGAAATGTGTTCAATGAATGACCTTGGGCTTTCGGCGACTGAGCTGATTGGAAAATGTGAGATCAGAGATAATAGCTGTCGCCACTTACAGTCTGCACATACTATACATGGGCATGCACAAATTACACACAAGCCACACAGAGCACTGTCATTTCTCCTGGACCAGTACCTCTCTAATAAAGCATACGTTTTCAATAAAAATGCTAATTACCTTCATAGCATGGCACAGTCAGGTTAATTCCCCTTCTGTAAAAAGCATACGGATTGTCTGGGTGTAAAATCAGGTTTTCTCATTGCAGAGAAAAGTCTGTGTTTTGATTAAAAATATGGTTTTGCAAAGATGACTTCAAATAGTGGGTTTTCATGGAACATAGATATTATATATTAAATTATAATTATATGCCATAGAATAAAATATAGATATAGATCCATGTATCACCTTGAAAAACCGTGCGATAACAAAACACCAACATGCCTCACAATTGCCTTGAAAATCAAATTCAGATGATTTGTATAGCAGATTTAAAGGAGCAGTATGTACAAATCTGTCCAAAAGTGGTACTGCACTCTCCCTGATTTAGGTTGCCAGATATGCAGATAAATCTAGCTGGGACCATAATGTCTGTATAAAGAGTTTTGTCAACAAGAAATCTATAACCAACTTCTTTGAAATCCTGGTTTTATTCCTTGTTATGTCATCAATGATTTGAGAATCATAATGAGACCTTTTTTAGTTCTGTGGCCACATTTCTTACTTTACCAGTGAGATTAGCGCAACGTGGTGAGTTCTGGCAACCCGGATCACGGACTTTCTTATTGGTGAAACGGTGGAGGGCGGGACATCGAAATGAAAGCAATAACAAGATTAATGGGCTGTAAAAATATTTTAGAAATTCAAATATCTCGGCTGAACTACTGTTTTCAGTTAAAGAAGTATTTGATCAGAGCATGGTTTATTAATGCCCTTTGACAGATTAGGACCATTTAATGATGACTTGACATGAAAATCTTATACATTGCTACTTTAGGTTAAATGTGGAGGTATCAGTAATGTGGTGACACAACAAATAACAAATTATATCTGTGTGACATTTAGAATATTTTGGACATTTGGGATTGTTGCTGCCCACTACTTATTTTAAACCTGTTCCTTCCAGACAAACTTGAACTGTCCTTGTTACAACTTTCCTGTGATAGCGAGAGATCCTAATACTGTGTGCCTTGCAGCAGTGTTCATTCATTTTCTCAGCTCTCAGGTTACACGATAAGGCATCAATCCATTTTGCAAATATGACCAGAATATGACCATGAAATTAATAGAATTTCAATTTCTTTAAAAGAGGTTGATTAGAATCTCTCTAATATCAAGGGACTACAGAATGTGTCATTATGAAAAGAATATAAACATGCATACACAGCTATTTTGATATTTACTAGAAAATATTGATTCCAGAGAAATTTGATATTCATATTTTTCCAAAGTTATGTAAAAAGAATGTCAATAAGCGAAAAAATACAAAATATTATTCTTGATATTTTGATATCATGCACAAAAAATGGGTGTATCAGAACATGTTACAACGACTGCATGTATCTAGAATGTTGTATCGCTATACCATAAAAAACACTGATTACTTTTCATTTTGCATTCCCACTTTTAAATGATTGAACTCATACATTTGTCCATGAGGGAGAAGCTTCTCCGGTGCACCCTGACACACTCACTAACACATACAAGCGTCTGCACTTGTTTTAGTTTTAACATGATCGTCTCCAGTGTTTGCTTATTTATCGGGAGTCGTGCCCAGCCACACCAGTTAGCATGCATTTTTCATGAGCTCTGCATTTAACGCTTGCTTGTCTGCTGTGTGTACGTCCTCTTTTCGTTTGTCTTACATGTTTGTGGTTTGTGCTGGGAGGGAGCTTTAGCTTTAACATGTTTAAGAATTCATGCACATACCACTCACAAACTAGTGCAGGGGTGCTATTTATAAACGCTCGGAAGTTTTTCCAAATGTTTTTTCTCTCTTTAAGGACTCGGCTTACATCCTTTAGATCCTCTCCTCCTCATCCTCCTCCTCTCCTCTCCTCATCTCTAGGGAGCGGTTCCATTCAGCAGTTCTCTAACGGTCTTGAAAGACACAAGGGCAGTGCCTGTAGGATTAGGTTTCTGCCGTGTTCACATTCCATCTAGATCCCCGGGGAGAGAGGTGGAATGGAATTTATACGCCACCAGAAAGTGTGCCATTTTGATACCGTGTGCGACGTCAGGGCTCAAAGGATAATGGTTTAGATATAATAGTGAAGAGACGGAGTGGTGCGCAATTGGCTCCACCGTGCGAGGCGAGTGGACTTTCATAGGAAAATAGACAAGCACAAAGGGCGTCCAACCTTTGTGAAATCACTTAAATGTATCGCTTTTGACCGTTTTAGACAATAAGATGCTGTAGTTAATGGATAACGATTGAATCTGGCCACCCAAGTGTTTTTTTTGTAGAGAAGGTTTGTGATTGCCACTAATCCTTTTATGTATGAACTACGTGCACCGAATGGGGAAAACCATGTTGTTTCATGTGTGATTATGTGTATTATTTGATAATGCTCCAAATCCTTGTCTACTGTGTTTTACTGTCCATACAAGAAATAACGACTCCCACTTAAAAGCAATATCTCAAACCGACTGGTACAAAATAAATGGCTCCCCTTTTACTGCTGATGCATTGTCCCCAGACTAGTGAGGACAACTGTGGTTACATTTATCTTGCATGTTGCTTTGAGCCTGTGTGGTGTTCCCCTCTCTCCTGTATCTGTTGCCCCATACATACATGTGTGTGTGTGTGTGTTTGCGCGTGTGAGAATGTGTGTGCTCGGCTTGTGTGCGTCGCATATGTGCAATGCATTTGTGTCAGCACCCCTCCAACCCCCACTGGCTGTACACTCTTCTCCAGCGCTTGCATAACCCTATTACCAATCACACACCGAAAGCATCCTGGCTCTCTCACAAGGTTATGATGAAATATGAGTCTGATTATGAAGATCCGAGATTGTATTATCATGATTTCTTTATTATTGCATCATTAATCTATTTTTGTCTTGTCTCTCTTTTTCTCTTCTTTGCATATCCAATGTTCCGTCTATGGCTCGTGCAGAAGTAGAACAAAAAGGTAAGTTTGTTACACGCATACAAGGTATTGTGCTCCAAGGCTAGGTTTGGTGTCACTTTTTGATGCCAGCGCCTCAAGCTTTTTATACCTCGACATCTCTATCAAAGAGGCTGATGCTATATTGAGACCGCCTCATCTCCTGCACTGGTGCCAATTCAGAAACGTTCATTACACACACTTGAGCTCTATTATTTTATGGTTGAGTGTAACTAGGAGATGCATGGGTTGAGCCAATGAAGATTCACTTGCCATTGTTATAACCTGTAATCATTTGCAAAAGACCATCCTTCATCAAAATAAAAAAGAAGAAAAGACTAAATAACCCACATTTACAGGTTCAGTATAGGTAAGATAAGGCATTTGACCCATCTTCAATGCCACTCGGGCCTCTGTAGCACCCAGGGACCCATCTCCAGATGTTGATGCTGTCTACCGATGTACAGTATACCCGAGGTGGAAGATTTTACTTACAGTATATATTTTTGGGTGGTTTTGAAAACCAGACTACCCAAAGGAAACACGCAGAGAAACATGCAAACTCTGAATAGAAAGACCTAGGCCTAGAGTATTTTTGTTAGGCCGTAATATAACTATTAAGATTAAGAGATCCTTTATACATCCCACAATGGGGAAATTTCAGTGTTGCATCACAAGATATATTAATAATAACTCTATACCAAAATAAAATAAAATGAAATAAAATCTTTAACTCTAGCATAAAAAGAAGCAGTGTAAAATCTCTATCTTTAGCAAAACAAGGAAAGAAGTCTTAAAATCTCCAACATGATGAAGAAGAAAAAGTGAAGTACAAAAACTCCTAACTTCGGCATAAAAAGGAGCAGGTATAAAATTCTGTATATATAGTGCAAGTAGCATGTTGTATAGTTGTGTGTACACATCTGTACATGTTAGCAGCCTGTAGTTATTCCAAATCAATCGATCAAAATAATAATTATAATATTTTAGTTCCAAGAGCAATTATGTGAATCTATGCTATTATGATTTCAATGTCACATAGGAAAATCTCTTAGCCAGTGAACGTTGAATTACAGTGAAATTTGATATTCCAAACATTCCCTGTGATGAGAAATGTATTCTGGTGCAGTGCAAACCCAATTATTTTCTATCAATATTCACAGCCTTGTGCTTTAGAAGTTATTGGGCAGAATGAGAAAAGCGAGGTGCACATCTGGTCTTTGTATGCGACAACATTCCAGTCAAATTACAAAGGTCCCTACCACACGGTCCATACGCCGAATTTACTGCATCTCCCACATCACACATAAAACATGACCCCAGTATTCCATGATGGGAAAACGGGGCAAGTAGTGGGGGACGACTTATCGCAGCAATTGCAGAAACAGCAGGCAATAAAAGATGTGTGGTTCATACAGTCGATTCTGACAGGAATAGAAAAGGAAGAAAGAGTTTGTTGACTAATGAGGAGCTTTGGAGAAGGAAAGAAAGGAGGAGAGAGAACAAAATGTGCCAATCCCCTGGTCTGCTTTTCACTGTAAGAGCAGGGTATAATCTGTTGAATAGACGCCATGCTGTTGCTATGGCTGAGAATGACAGTGACTGTACCAGAAGCATAACATGGTAAACCTATCCTGCCATTGTCACTCACTGGTGTTGGAGGCTGCACACTGAGTACAAGTATCAGGAGTTTTATAAGCAGTCTTTTATTTATAGATACATTGGGTGTATTTGATATTTGACTGTAACATTTTAGCCAGAGCTTTAATTTGAATCAACTAAAATACGTAATACAAATACAGTAGGTCAGTAAGCTTTAAAACTGAAGTACCTAATTTTAAAACCACAATATTATTATTATTATTATTAATCTTTATTAAGGACACAATACAATACAGACCATTGTTATTACACCATTCACCATTATACAACTATTAATACAATCCTTTTTGGTTGTATCACATCTTTAAATCAGATTTTTAGACAGAAAAGTGGTCAAGAAAGGACCACCGTCACTCGGCCAATTGGTTCTCAATATGGTCTAAAATAATAATGTTTTCTAATAATATTATGACAGTATGTGGTCTGGTTTGTTCAGAAAAAGTTACTTTAACAAGACTCTATTTGTTGAGAAAAACACAATGTAATTATGATACAAAAGCATGTTAGGTATTTCAGCAAGTTTTATTTCAAAGAACTCAGTTTATTTCTCCCTTCAGCTCTGTAGATAAGCAGTATATGGGTAGGTTTTGTGTAATTTAAATAATCGACAAATATCAGTTTTTTCTTAATGTCTCTACTTATATGTGCTAATTGTTATATGTTCTTATTTGCACAAGCTATATGCATGTTCTGCTTATAATGACTCATGAATAATTATAATACATTATATCATAATAATGAATTCTTAAACAAGCTAAAGGTCCCAGCAAACCTCAAAAGAACCATGAAAAATAAAGAGATAGATAGAATAGTTAAGCGTAAAAATGCAACTAGAGTCAATGTCCAAAATGATACTAAAAACACAAAATGCCCATAGATAGTATTATTGAAATTAGTTTAGAATATCATAATATTCTGTGGACGTCTTCCTTAGGGCTGCACATGAGCAACATCAGTAACGCCTAATTGAAACTGTTTTGTCCTTCTTTCTGTAGTCTTTCTCTGCCCTGGGATCCTGCGCGGCGTCTATCAAAGTGAGCACCTGTTTGAGTCGGACCACCAGTCAGGAGCGTGGTGCAAAGACCCTCTCCAGGCCTCCGACAAGATCTACTACATGCCCTGGACTCCCTACCGCACCGATACACTCACCGAATACTCCTCTAAAGAAGATTTCATCGCGGGACGTCCCACCACCACTTACAAACTGCCCCATCGCGTCGACGGCACCGGTTTTGTAGTGTACGACGGAGCCCTTTTTTTCAACAAGGAACGCACAAGAAACATCGTAAAGTTTGACTTGCGCACACGTATTAAAAGCGGCGAGGCTATCATTGCAAACGCCAACTACCACGACACTTCTCCGTATCGATGGGGAGGCAAGTCGGACATTGACCTCGCCGTCGATGAGAACGGGTTATGGGTGATTTATGCGACGGAGCAAAATAACGGACGTATTGTCGTAAGCCAGCTCAATCCGTATACTTTAAGAATAGAAGGTTCGTGGGACACTAACTACGACAAGCGCTCGGCCTCCAATGCGTTCATGATCTGCGGAGTGTTGTATGTGGTGAAAACGGTGTATGAAGATGATGACAATGAAGGGACTGGGAACAAGATCGATTACATGTACAACACAGACAAGAGCAAAGAAGTGATTGTGAATATTCCTTTCCCAAACTCCTACCAGTACATCGCTGCGGTGGATTATAACCCCAGAGACAACCTGCTCTATGTGTGGAATAACTACCACGTGGTCAAGTACTCCCTGGACTTTGGCAACAATGGTAAGAAAGCATGTTTGTATTGTCATGACTAGAATGTCTTCCAGCTCCAATGTTCGTAAAATTTATAATAATAATAATAATAATAATAATACATCTTAGCCGCCTTTCTTGGCACTCAAGGTCACGTCATGTAAAAAGTGCATTTTAAAGAAAGTTGAAATACAAAGTTAAAAGCAGCATGAACGGAGGATTAGGCCTGATTATATCCACGATAAGAGGATATCTCTTATCGTTCCAGAACTTTATGTATGAAACTATATAATATAACTATACATTGTTAAGATCAGTATGGCTAAAAATGCCATCATTCTGCTGGTATTTTTCTGAGTGCAAGCCTTTTCATTGATTACATAAATCTAGAATAGCTTTACTGGGTTCATCTTGCTATATATTAGATTAGAATACTTTGTTTTGATCCATACAAAAATATAACAATCTGCGCCATACAGAAAGCACTATAGCCACACACATGCTTGCACATATTTTACCAGTGGCATAAAGCAGCTTCAATGTTATGATTTATCACAATAATTTTCTGAAGCAATCATCAAAATGAGTTATTGTGACAGGCCTGTTTGCGTTTGTGTGTGTGTGTGTGTGTGTTATGCTGGGAACACTTGAACCACATGTACTGTAAGTTTAGATTAAAACCACACACATTCTCACTAAAAGTATATCTGAGAACACTGTAGGTGTAGGAACATGTTATACTTCTTACAACTGTTGTCTCAAAATTCCATAAATAGCGTCAAATGCAACTTGAACTTAGTTTTAGACTCCATTTTGTAATGTGAAATGTAGAATTATTGTCTTCCATCACACAGTTGTCTCGTTATGATTCGTCATGATATTTCTTGAGATGTCTTTAATGATGTTACAGTGAATTTGAGAGTGAATGCCTGTAGCCTTTCCTGCACTGCCTTCATTTTCCCGTTTGCTTTACCAAACCTAATGCATTCTTCATAAGCACAGATGTATGCAGACAGGAAGGACACGCACGATATTTTACACTGGACTCTGCGTGAAACATGAAACACATGTTCAACTCTGGGCTCCAGTACAAACTCATATACTGTACATGAAAAGACAAGTTTATTTCAAACACAGCTCATTCCTAAGGCAACTCAAAGTGCAGAACAGAACAAGATAAGAAACAATAAAATCATACAAGGACATTAAAATCTTAAATAATCACAGTACATGAAAAAGATTATGGGTACAATATTTCAGTTGTATGCACAGCTAAACAGAACTGTTTTAACCTGGATTGGATTGTCTAAGTAGAAGCATGTCTCACATTTTAGGAATTTTAGCTACATAAATCAAAAACACTGCCTCCCCATTTTTAATCCCTGTGCTGCTCAGAGTCCGAGCAGGAGGCCAGTCCCTGTGCTCCTCAGAATCCGATTTGGTTTATATGTCACAGAGGTACTTTGGAGGCCATGGAGAGACTTGTACATGTACCGCTCTTCATAGCTGGTTGCGTGCTGAGGCAAATGCAACAACTATTATCACGGAAACAATTAAACAAACAACAAAGATTAATAGAAAACAAACCCTGCATTGTTACAAATGTTTAACCAACACAAGTCACCCTTGATATGCATACACTGTATATGCGAACAAGTAAATAGTCAAATATTATTACATCTCATCTATCTTCTTAATTGGTTCAAAATGGTTTTCTATTTGTTTTGTGGGCAGGAACATGACAAAAGTTATGCTTAAGTTCCTCTGTGTTGGCGCACCATAGCCAGTTATTTGGCTGTGTTTGCTAATACTTACTTCCTTTCTGTGGTTGTAATATGTCAACCTAATGTTTACAGCCTTCTCGAGGGGCTACAAATACAATACACATTCATTACAACTGACAGGCCGGATAGCATCACATATATATTCTACTTCGAACAGTAAGTGAAGGTTGCAGCAGGATTCTCTCTTTCCCCCTTATAAAGATCTTTACTGTAATACTTTTTAGCTACCATCCATATATTAATGTGTGTGCCTTTACCCTCTAAAGCAGAGGTCGGGAACCTTTTAAGCTGAGGAAGCCAAAAACAATGTCACCCACTTAAACATGTATTTCTGTGGGAGCCACACAGATTTTTGACTGTGAATGTGTGTTATTTAAAAACACAACACATTTATAGAGACATATTAGTAATGTAATTTATGTATTCTTTCATTGAATAACATGTTTGTACTGAAGAAACCCAGTGCATAACAGATTCCTACTATGAATGCCTATTACATGTAAGATTTGCCTGAGAGTTAGGCACAATCATCAAAAGAGCCACATCTGGCTCTCGAGCCATAGATTTCTGACCCCTGCTCTAAAGCATGCAATTCATACTCAAAGGACATTGTGAAATGAATCATCAATTATAATAGTCCAGCTGTTTGCCTATTTCTGCAGCTAGGTCTTTAGATATGGAGTTTTCTTGACAGTATGTAGTAGATTAGTGTCATTCTAAATGTCAATAATAGAAAAAAACTACTGGATTCCAACATGAATTATTTATGGACAAATTTGGAAGATCTTTCTGTAACTAGAAAATAATACTTTTGATACAAATTCTTAAATATAGTTCTAATATAGTTTAAAGTGTATTTTAAAAATGCTTAAAAAATCTCAAATGTCCAATTTTGTATTTAATATAGTATCTATACTTTCTCAAATTAGTATAGTTTCAATACTAGTTTTAGTATACTTTTGACTACCCTAGGAGCCAGGGGACTTTTGCAATCCTTTGCCCCCTGTCCACATGATTTAGATGAAGATGAAGAGGTCCTTTAGTTGTCCCACAGTGAAGAAATTTCAGTACTGCATCACAAGTTAATGAACGGTATTGGATTGAGAAGCAGTCATCACTTATGCAAGAATATTACGTAAGTCGTTAGCTTGAGGTTGCAAATGTTCACAGTGATGTCACTGATGTACATGTTAGCAGCATGTGAGACTACTGTACATTTTAAGATAAGATGAGAAAACTTTATTGATCTCACAATGGAGAAATCGTACCTGCCATATTTTAGAAACAGCAACTGACATTTATAGCCTTTAATAAACAAATATACGTACACTAATTGCATATGAACACATATAATCTTCGGCACATGTGGTGTTGTTCACAGCTCTTTAACATAAGCAGCTTTATTTTTCCCTGCACAAAGTGATGTCAGATTGCATTCAGAGAGCAGCACAGGTCTGACCAGCGGTTAGCTTGTATCCGCTCTGTTTGAAATGCCCGATGCCCTGGAGCCTGCAGGCCTATATCTTAGGTAATTGCCTCTCAGCACCTTTCCAACGGAGTGGTCTGGCCAGGCTTTATTAAATGATGTCCGAATTAACACATGCTCTTACACGCAGTTAGGAGGTGCGCTTACAAGACATTACAGGCCGAAACACGGTGCTAAACTTTATTTCCACCGATCAGAAGATGCGTTTCCTGAGTGTGCTAATGTACTTATGCGCTACAAGAGGCTGGTGTTTTTCTATTCATGAGTATGCTTATGTGTTTATTGCTCCCAAAGTGTGATCAGTCTCATAATAGAGCACTGGCCGGCTGTCTCGGGAGGCTTTAAAGACCAGATCAATGGGGATTCAATGTGGAGAATGACCTCCAGTGCACAGCAACAAGCCAGACTGCTGACCAGGGGAAGATAAATACATACAATCGATGCATTCCTGGCTTCTTTACTCTCCCGCTTCGGCGCGCTCCCTCACTCAATAAAGACAAGGAATAAATTAACTACCTCAACTGCATGATTTTCTCATTATTTAGAAAGTGAAGCGATGAGGCACTTTAGGTTTAGTTCTTTGGCGTTTTTCTGACCTGATTTCTTCCTCCAAGATTCCCTAAAGAGTAGAATTAATTAACACACGTTAATGAGTGTACTGGCAAGAACTTTATAATGTGAACATGATATGATTAGTGCCTAACTTTTTCTCTCTTTTTTGTGATATAGAAATAATAAGTTTCATCCGTGTTAAATATATCAATATCAATGAATGATCACAGATAATGGAAACAGCGTAAACATAATTCAGTTTTTGAACCACACTTGGACCAAAACATGAGATTTTATGACTCTATGACACTATGATTACTTCAGAATGTGATGGAATTGTTTTAAAAAGTATTATAAATCAGTAGTGTTACATCTAGTCTCTTTGTTGTTCTCGAGTGGCATTAGTTTAGCTTTGTTTTGGTCAAATTGATCCCTTATGTAATGGATTTAAACAACCAATCAATCAAATGAATTATTGCCCTACTAATCGTTTATCAAAATAATAATTTACTACAGCCCTAGTATACGTTTTTTTAAAATATTTAGCTTATGTTGAAATCCTTTTCCATTCGTTTACCTTCATCTGTTCTTTACCAATTCTCAGGCAATCTTACTATTTCTGAATTTAGTATATTATCAATGTGTAGCCTACAGCAATAATCTGCTGTTTTGTTTTTCTCATGCTTTTTGAACAAATAGGTTTTGATGTCTGCATCCCGTTTGTGGAAAGAGGCCAAGTAAACGTCTGTGTTCCTAAGGCTTTGCTGATTACAGATAGTATAATGTGAACGCAGCTTATATTCAGCTCGTATGGACTTCATAAAGTTATAAAATGAGACAAGAAGTGGGCCATGTGGGGAAAGTAGGCTGCTCTGGACCGAACATAATTGGGAGAGAAGTCAGAGAGAAGCAATTAGACAGTTTTTGTTCCTTTAACAAATGTAACTGTAATGCTATGTACTGCTCTAAACCTATTGTTATAGACTTCAGAAATATTATCACCAAATTATCACCAATTCCGCTCATTCTTATGGAGAGTTGTCTCTGAATAGTCGCCAGTGTTTTGTTTCAAAGTGTTTTTTTTTTGTGTTAATGCAAACAATTTAGTTCAGATTAAAGCCCTTCACATTATTCAAATGGATCATTATGACAAAATCAGTATCTCTTTGTTGTTAATATTATCATCATTACAGTAATGTTTTTTCTCA